AAGGCTAAGCTATATTTTATGTCAATGATAGGTAACGTTATGATAGGTTAGGCAAAGTTATATTAAGCTGGTCTTTGTTGTGTAGCTTATTTGGTTAGGTTAGGTTAAACTGGACTAGGTCAAGTAACGTTAAGTTAGATTAGGTTAGGTTAGCTTAAGTTAGGTTAAATTTAGGTCAGAGTTCTTTAAATTTACTTATGTTAAGTAACGTGATGTTAGGTCAGATCAAGTTTGGTTAGGTTACATTAAACTTACCAACGTTAGATAAAGTGATGTTAAGTTAGGTACGTTAGCTAAAGGTAAGTTAGCTTGTTTAGTATTGCTAACTTTAGTTAATTTATCATTGTCTTGACTCTGGATCATCAACATCAAAGTTTGCTCCACTAAGTCGATTGTTTTCCATTATCTAACAACACTCCACCACCTGTGCAACTAATTATATCCCCCCTCCCCCACACCATCTGCATCACTATCAAAGTTGTTGTTATAGATTTAGCTTCTCGGAACTAAAATTTCCATGTAGGATAGGCTGTGGTGAGCCCGTAACACTATCAAATGGCTACAATATTTTTATTCAAGTGATGAAACTGCTCCCTACACTTACGTAGTGAAGTTGGGTGTATGGAGCAGTAGCCAAATAAGAGATGAAAGCCTTAAGGATCGGGCACTGAGAAAAATCTGTCGATGAGACATCGAACTGGCCCCTGAAGTCCACATCAAAATTATACCCTTAGCGCTATAGGCAATTTGGCTAACTTAAGGACTGCCTTAAGAAATATGTTGAAGGAATCATTCAGTACCTTTGATATCACATAAGCCAAAGTGGAGTCCATATCATCTCAAACACAAGAAGTTTTGAAAATTTAAAGGTACTCGGCCAGATTAGTCCTGAAACCAAGTTATATGTAACTAGGAAAGGCTACAGGAATTAAATATCACATCACTTGAGAGATAGAATAGTCATGGAAGACATGATTACCATATACAAAATTCAAATTTATATGGTAGATAAGAAAAGACTAACAAGGGTGATGCTCGAACATGTACCCAAATGAGCCACAGAGACATTATAAATACTTTTTCCATTGTCAGAAATAGTGGACAAATGGAATTCACTAAGAAATAAGGTGGTGCCGGAAACTCTATACACAGTTTCACATACAGATATGATTGAACCCAATAGGCACAGGAACCTGTACACCAGTTGATTGATTGACAGTTTATAGACGGGACTAAAGAACTAAAGCTCAACCCCTTGTAAGCACAATTATGTGAGTACATTAATTAGGTTGCCGACACCGTCTACTCCTCTCTCCCTGAGACACCATGCTAGGTGGGCAGCCCTCAACCAATGAGTGAGGTCTCAGCCCTTGCCTTAGCGACTCATCAGCTCTATAATCTGCCAGCAGGTCTCGGAGAGCACAGGTGCCACCTCTCCCCCGTTGCTGGGAAGCCCTCAGGTAGCCTCCAGCAGCAAGACGGCTTACGCTCCGCAGTTGGCAACACTGCCTGACCGTATACACTATCGACCAATCAACGGCGAGCTTATAACAGGGTTGCACAACACGAACATCTGCAGTCCGTGTGCGTACTCACCTGGCTTTGTTGTGAGGATTTGACTTCGGCTCTTGGGTCCAGCCTCTCACACTGTAGATGACCAATGACAATATATTTTTAATATTACTTTGGTTAATGTTGCTAACTTTGTTTCCAACTGTGTCCCTTTATTCACGTATCACCCATGCAAAATAGTATGTCCTCTCTGCCGTGTGAATTCCCTGAGTACTTTGTACGTACCGATCATGTCTTGCTTGTTTTTCTCTTTTAGTACTCACCTAGTTGTGTTTGCGGGGGTTGGGTTTTGGTTCTTTATTCCTGCCTCTCATCTGTCAATCAACTGTGTACAGATTCCTGAGCCTACTGGGCTCTATCATATCTACATTTGAAACTGTGTATGGAGTCAGCCTCCACCACATCACTGCCTAATGCATCCAATGATATATGAGGCTTAATTATTGTATTATTTCTACGAACATGGATAAAAATCCTCCCAGAACTAAGTTGACTCTCATACCCGGAAAAGCTGAGGTCTGAGGTACGGAATGGATATAAGATAGTCGGGATCGCCAGAATTAAAGAGAGAAGAGTGTGGCATGATCAGATACTGACCCCCACGGTTGGTTTTGGTACTGTCACCTACACTTGCCTAAATATTTAAAAAATACAAATGTCAAAACTAATTATTTGTTTATAGTAATCTGAAAAAGTATGCACTGAACTAGAGAAAAAATACCTAGACTGTGGTATTGGAGGGGGATCTCTAAAACTGGATTAAGGCATGGTTATCGCGCAGAATATAAGAGGGTCAGGATAAAATTCAGAGTGAAGAGCAATCATAAGTGGAGTGCCCCAGTGCTCTGTTATGCTGTTCGCCTTATCAATAATGTAGATGTAGTAATGAAAAGGCAACATTAATAAAGTTGACAATAACACTTAAATTGGATGGTTAATACACTTCGTCATGCTATCTTGAGATGCTTTCGAGGCTTTAGTGTCCCCGCGGCCCGGTCCTCGACCAGGCCTCCAACCCCAGGAAGCAGCCCGTGATAGCTGACTAACACCCAGGTATCTATTTTACTGCTAGGTAACAGGGGCATAGGGTGAAAGAAACTCTGCCCATTGTTTCTCGCCGGCGCCCGGGATCGAACCCGGGACCGCAGGGTGGACAGCGCTTCGGATTCGTAGTCCTGAGGTTCCGAGTTCGATCCCCGGCGGAGACAAATGGGTATAACGTTTCTTTTACCCTGATGCCCCTGTTACCTAACAGTAAATAGGTACCTGGGAGTTAGACGGCTGCTCCCTGGGGGGTGGAGGCCTGGTCGAGGACCGGGCCGCGGGGACAATAAGCCCCGAAAAAGATAACCTCTCAAGATAACTTGCCCCATTGAAACTGCGTGGGTTTATGCAGCACAGTTCAAGGAATGTACATATTCTTTGCCAAGTACACAGTATAATCCAAGAATACGGAACCTCCCTTATTAAAAGAGTTAAGAAACCTTAATTTACACTAACAAAGGCATAGCAAAACAGGGACATGAAAAGTATACAAATGGATAACAGGGCTTAAGAGGGGGGTGCTGGGGGCAGGGGGGGGGGGGGGGTAGAAATAGGGTGCGGAAATATTAACTGAAATTAATATCAACTGAAGTTAACTATTGTGACAGCGTTTGGCAGTGTGCGCGGTCACGGCTCATGTTAACCTTTTGTTGTTCACTGTTCACTATGATGTCATTTGTTCAGTATGATGTCCTTTGTTCAGAATGATGATCCCCTGAACACCATGACGCCTTCTGTTCACTGAGGTGCCCCTTGTTCACTGTGGTGTCCCCTGTTCACTGTGGTGTCACTTGTTCACTGTGGTACCTCCTGTTCACTGTGGTGCCTTTTGTTCACTGTGGTGTCACTTGTTCACTGTGGTACCTCCTGTTCACTGTGGTACCTCCTGTTCACTGTGGTACCTCCTGTTCACTGTGGTGCCTTTTGTTCACTGTGGTGCTCCTTGTTCACTGTAGTACCTCCTGTTCACTGTGGTGCCTTTTGTTCACTGTGGTGTCCCTTGTTCACTGCAGTGTCCTGTTCACTGTGGTGCCCCCTGTTCACTGTGATGCCCCCCTGTTCACTGTGATGCCCCCCTGTTCACTGTGGTGCCCCCTGTTCACTGTGGTGCCCCCCTGTTCACTGTGGTACCCCCTGTTCACTGTAATGCCCCTTGTTCACATTGATGTCTCCTGTTCTCCGTAATGCAACGCCTCTTGTTCGCTGTGACGCCCCCTGTTCACTATCAGCCATGCCCCTTAGTCCCTGTGATGCCCCCTGTTCACTGTTATGGCCGTTGTTCACTCTAAGCCTCAGGTTCACCGTGATGCCTTCAGGTCACTGTAATGTCTTGTTTATTGTGATGCTTCCTGGTCCCTTTGACGTCTCTTGTATATTTGCGATGCCTCTTGTTCTCTGTGATGCTTCTGTTCATTATGGCACCTCCTGTTCACTGCGATGCCTCATTGTACGGCTGCCATTACTCCTTACTCCTATAATGTGTTTTCCCAGACCTTCTCAACTGGTCATCTGTGTCACGTCACAGTCTTATGGGATGTTATCTTTCACTCCCAGTGGAAACGATTTATAGAAATAAGATGAGAGGTGACACTGCAGAGGCTTATCTATACTGGCTCATGGGAGACATACTTCCTATTGAAGCTAAAGTGTTTTTATTCGCATCAGCTTGTATGTTATTGTCTTCAGTGTACAGTTATTTGCATGATGTTAGGACTTGGATTTGGATTTTAGGTTGAAGAACGCCTTTCATCCATTTGTAATCTTATAATTTGTTGACATCGCTTCGACCCAGATGCCCTACATCTATATTTTCTTTATTTATTTATTTTATTTATTTATATACAAGAGGTGCATTGGGGGTTAAGAGAAAACATAGAAATGAAGTTGATTTTACATTCTTGTACAGCCACTAGCACGCATAGCGTTTCGGGCTTTAATTAATTTTCTTTCTGCTTCTTCTCGTCACCAATGATCGATTGACAAAACAAAACAAAACTAATTTGGTTGTAATTCCCTTTGTGAACCACCAGCCGTCACCAGCCTTGCGTGACTGACTCAAGTTATGCATTATTTCACAGCTAATTAGAATATCTACAGTTAACTCATTTCTCCTAAACTCACACTTCTGCTTTACTAGTCAATACTAGATCTGGGATCGATATAGATGTGCTCACTACTGGAATACGTAATACATGTATCATTGCACAAATTACTAATAAAACATATAACGCTCATGGTTGATAACAGATATGAAATATATATATATATATATATATATATATATATATATATATATATATATATATATATATATATATATATATATATATATATATATATATATATAGTTGTTATCTAACCCTACCAAAATCGATTTTCCTTACCTTGGAAGGTGGAAGCTTGTTAATGTCGGAGGGGTTGAAAGGTTCAGAGAGGAGGTTCCTGAGACAGGCAGGTCATGTCTGAGACTATAGGGATCACCGGCGAATGGTGTTCATGGCCCTCGGTGGGTGGCTGGTGAGGGGGCGCGTCTGGTGAGTGTGTGAGAGGCGAGGTGGGTGAAGGTGTAGACACGTGGGCGTGGGTGTAGCAGGTGGGTGTGGATACAGACCTACACGTCTATACTCCCGCAGCTTGCGGGAAACACTGACACAGCGCCGCCAATGGCTCCGTTTTCTCTAGCCCGACCCGCCCCGTCGCGATCGTTACTGCACAAGGGCTGCCAATGAAAGGTACGCACTTCTACACTCCTAAATCACGCAGCAGCAAAATCTGCTTTCTTAAAATATCAAGACAATGTTGGATAAAGACGGTGCCTGTGAAGTAAACGGGAGATCCATCTCTGGAAGGCGTGAGAGCTGCGGGAGGCGGAGCCGTGTGGTTCTACAGGCACGGCTAACCTGCTAACTTCTGCAGCAGAGCACACGTGGTCCCTCATTCATGGTTTTTCCCTGAATTTGGTGTCCTTCCCACACACCCGTGAGCGAAGTCGAGCAATCCTGCACCAGACTGCGGCTTTGTCTCCTCTGGGAGAGACCGTCTGGCCAGGGGAGTGGTGTAGGCTACTGGCTCTTTGTACTTGACGTGGTGTGAGAGCGCTCAAACACTGCTTGAATTAATCGTGTTGTGTGCAAATGACGATGGATGCCTGCCACTTCGCACCGTAACATTTAGTTCTGAACCTGATGGACCGGGCTGCTGGTGATAGCAGGTCCACACCCAGCGTGTTTAATTATTTGGTCCTTGCTCAAAATGTACCAAATAACTGATATATGTATATATATATTAATGAGCTAGAAACTCTTTCGCCTCAGATGGTAACAATGGTCATTAAGTTTCTTCCTGCCAGAGCATAACCATGCCACTAGAAGAGCCTTTGAGAGCCACTTCCAGCAGGGGCTCATGGACAGCTAATCTTGCCTCACAAAAGTTGATAACAGTCTAAGACCGAGAGACAGAGAGACAAAATAGAAGCAGCAGTCAGGCGGACAAGGAGATGTAAGCGACGGAAGATAATCCAGTGGATTAGAGAGTAGTCCCAATGATGAATGACTTCATTGATGTGATGTCTCCAGCCAAGTACCACAAGAGTAATTACAAGGGCTTGTCATGTTGGTCATGAAGTTGACAATGTATATAAATTATCAGAATGACTTTCTACCTGTCACTGATACCTCTCTTTATCTGTATCCCACCATTCAAGTATTATAGACACCCGTCACCACGAAAGGTAATGAAAACCTTGCCCTTCAAGAAGCTGTCACACTTTAACAAATTTTGTCCTCTATCAAACATTTAAGGTCTGACGAGCATTATGGCTACACCGATGGCTCAGGCAAATCCTCAACAAGCCGCACTGCAGCAGTCTGAAGATTTTATATAAATAATATTTGTACACATACTGTAAGTAGCAAACATTCATGTTTTGTGTGTGTGGTCGATAGATCAGGTTCGATTCTTTCAGTACACCATTTTCTGTCCGTTGTGGCAACTCGACAGGACGGGCTGAATACTGATTTATACATTATATATATAAAATATAATTCCCATTATCGGGGATAAGAAACCTGTACTTAGACTTGTATCCATGTCCACCCTCAGGATGCAACTTATAACATTTCCTTAACTCCCGACTACTTTTCTATATAGTCGTAATGGCTTAGTGCTTTCTCCTGATAATTACCTGACCTTATTTACTGCTAGGTGAACAGGATTATAAGGTGAAAGGAAACGTGCATGACCATTTGTTCCTCCCGGAGGAACTTGGTTCCCCAATTATCAGACAAGAACGTAGATCACTGAATTAGTGCCTGTCTCACCACTATAAACATCACTCACTCTTAAGTTGTATTTTCTCACTATGATGTTTATATCTGGCGAAGGTGAAGATTAAACCACCCAAAAGGTGGCACGGGTATGAATAGCCCGTAAGTGGTGGCCCTTTGGAGCATTACCAGTATCTTTAGCTGATACTGGAGATCTGTGGAGGTGCGACTGCGGCCTACGGAGAGGTCGTGACCTCTGATATCTGGCGAAGTCTGAGTGGCCATTGATAAACGGTCGACTGAAAAAAAGTGCATGCTGTTTGTTGGATAAGTGAATTGAACCAGAAAAAGGGTTCATGTCAATGTTCATTGTCATGTTATGTCAATGATCTTCCCGAGTGTAGGTGTGTAGGTGAGTGGAGGTGGACCAAACTCTCAAGTCAAATCTGGCCTCGGGCCGGGCTTGGGGAGTAGATGAACTCGCAGAACCCCATCAACCAGGTATCAACCAGGTACCAGGTATCAGGCCCGGCAAGAAGTCGCAGTGAGATGGACACATGAGAAGTCAATATGTTCTCCATTCACAATTTAGCTTAAGAAAGTCAGTTTTTTTTTTCGTTAATTCCATACTTTAAAACCATTCAAGCTGAGACACTGACTGCTAAATAACTTTACTATGGGCCAGGTGTTAAGATGGCCAAATTCACTCCAGTCAGCAATAATAAAGAACTAATATCACCTCCTCCTCCCTTGAGCCTATTTTAGTAAGAATTGTTGAGAGAACATTATTTTTTTTACAGATTTTTCCATAAATGTTAAGAAATACATTTTTTTTAACTAAAGACATACTTTTCTGTTTAGCAGTTTTTTTTCACATTATTTCACTGGTTTTATCTCAGTTCAGATGTGTTCCAGGGCGGAAGCTGTCATCGCCGGCAGTAGCAGCATGGAGGTATATTGAAGGTGGCCATGACAAGAAGATAGATTACGGACTCACCAAAGCCCGTGCTACTTGGAACGTTTTGTTCTAAGTAGCTGAATCTTAAACAACAACAACAAGATACCCGGATTGCGTGTCACCAGAACTGTTAATTAGTCACGCACAGAGGTGACTAGTTACAGCCCCGCTCCTGTGCCAGGCAAGTCCACTACGGGCTCACCATAGCCCGTGCTATCTTGAGATGATTTCGGGACTTTTTAGTCCCCGCGGCCCGGTCCTCGACCAGGCCTCCACCCCCAGGAAGCAGCCCGTGACAGCTGACTAACACCCAGGTACCTATTTTACTGCTAGGTAACACTACTTGAAACTTTTTTTGTTCCGAGGAACTAAATTTAAAACAGCAACAACAACAACATTTAGAACAGGGGGACGTGTCAATACGGTCAATATACTCGGGAGAGCACATACGGTCCACCACCCTTCCTGCGACGCACTCTGCTTCAGCCACACCTTGAGCACCGCAGCGTCTGATTAATGACAACATGACAGTATTCGTGCCTTTGGGATGAAACTATAGGTTTTTGAGCAGCCCGTTCTCCTAATAGAACGTCGCATTTTGACGTATACTCTACATTAGGTCAAAAATTGTGTCACTAGAAAATGGTAGCGCTTCGCGAAATTGACATACTCTCCCGTTTTCTGTTTTGGGTCATCGGGGAGGATATGATAAGGGCACTTTAGTACGATACTTTCTTGGCGATGGAAAATCTTAAGAGGACGGGCTGCTTTGAGAGGCAACTAGCTGAGTAATTTTTCATATATGCCAACCCTGAAATCCCCTGCAAGACATATATAACTCAATTTTATGCTGATTCATATACAGAAAAGTACTGAAGCATTATTGAAAAATTAAGGAATGAGATTCACAAAAGACTTTTGGAAATGCATTCTTCGCTAGATACCTGGTTGATGGGGTTCTGGGAGTTCTTCTACTCCCCAAGCCCGGCCCGGGGCCAGATTTGACTTGTGAGAGTTTGGTCCACCAGGCTGTTGCTTGGAGCGGCCCGCAGGCCTGCACACCCACCACAGCCCGGTCGGTCTGGCACTCCTTGGAGGAAACAATCTAGTTTCCTCTTGAAGATGTCCACGGTTGTTCCTGTAATATTTCTGATGCTCGCTGGTAGGACGTTGAACAACCGCGGACCTCGATGTTCATACAGTGTTCTCTGATTGTGCCTATGGCACCTCTGCTCTTCACTGGTTCTATTCTGCATTTTCTTCCATATCGTTCACTCCAGTACGTTGCACGTTGCAACGTACTGGAGTGCAACGTACTGGAGTACGTTGCACTCCAGTACGTTGTTTCGCTATTCTCTATTGTGAAATTAGTTGTTCCTTGTCTTCATAATCCCAAGGTCTGAAATACACAAAAATTGGTGCAAGATTATCAGAGAACATAGCATCTGCTTCTCTCTTATTACCGTCAATATTATAAAATACGTACCTATTTATGTCCTTATAAATTATATTTAACACCCTACTAACTCTAGATAGTTGTCTATATGTCCTCAGGCAATATACAATTACACGTATAATTGGCTGTTTCCTACACTGGATGTTTGTGAGAAATCTAAACATCGATTTAGTGACTCTCAAATGTAGATATGATAGAGCTCAGTAGGCTCAGGAACCTGTACACCAGTTGAGAGGCGGAACCAAAGAGCTAAAGCTCAATCCCCGCAAGTACAACTAGGTGAGTACTCTTAATACACCAGCGATGATTTTATTCTTTTTTTGCCTTTGTTTTCTTCGATCTTCATGAGTACGGGGACGGGAGGTGACCTCAGCGTGAGCGAAGCCTTCTGGACCACTGCTCAGGCCAGTCAGGGGTTTTGCTCAGCTGTGACATGAGAGGTGAGGAAAGTGCCATCGAACTAATACAGCGTAATGCTAAAATTATTAAAAGTGAAGAGCAGAGGTGCCATGGGCACAATCAGAAAACACTGTATGAACATCAGAGGTCCGCGGTTGTTCAACGTCCTCCCAGCGAGCATCAGAAATATTACAGGAACAACCGTGGACATCTTCAAGAGGAAACAAGATTGTTTCCTTCAAGGAGTGCCGGACCAACCAGGCTGTGGCGGGTATGTGGACCTGCGGGCCGCTCCGAGCAACAGCCTGTTGGACCAAACTCTCACAAGTCAAGTCTGGCCTCGGGCCGGGCTTGGGGAGTAGAAGAACTCCCAGAACCCCATCAACCAGGTATATGTGGGCCTGCGGGCCGCTCCGAGCAACAGCCTGGTGGACCAAACTCTCACAAGTCAAGTCTGGCCTCGGGCCGGGCTTGGGGAGTAGAAGAACTCCCAGAACCCCATCAACCAGGTATATGTGGGCCTGCGGGCCGCTCCGAGCAACAGCCTGGTGGACCAAACTCTCACAAGTCAAGTCTGGCCTCGGGCCGGGCTTGGGGAGTAGAAGAACTCCCAGAACCCCATCAACCAGGTATCAACCAGGTAAAATTAATTTTTGTTTACCCCATCTTATAGAAACTCACAAACTCACTAAAACCCACTAATAGACTAGAATATATTATATACAAAGGAAAGCAAAGAAGTTCGTCTGTCTGACCAAATATAATATGAGAAATATA